AATCACTCTGTATGCGTACAATCACGCTACCCTACACATTAAAATACAAGACGTTACAGAAAAGATCCCCGTCAGAAGAGGTGTACGCCAGGGCAATGCAATTTTACCCAAACTCTTTACTCTCGCGTTAGAGCATGTCTTTAAAAACTTGGCATTAGAACAAAAAACAAATAGTATAGATGGAGAGAACCTTAGTCACCTTAGATTCGCCGACGACATCGTATTGATAAGTAGCGACGAATGTCAATTAGAACAGATTATTTGGGAATTGCATCAGGCATCTATTTCACAAGTCATATCGCTGTGACTCTAGGTTGTTGAGAGCTACCTATATCTTGGACACCTGATCATGCTCGGGGCAGAGAATCAAACTGCTGAAATATTCAGATAAATCGGGCTGTCCGAGACTGCATTCGGCAAGTTGGGGCATATACTTAAGGAACCGAAAATCCGCATTAACCTCAAGCGTAAGGTCTACCAACAATGCTTACATACTTCCGGTTACCATATATGGACTCGAGACTGCCACAATAACGAAAGGCAGTGCAAATCGTCTACGGGTTCTCCAGTGAGCAATGGAAAGACGGATGCTGAATGTAAGCCTCAGAGATCAAATCAGAAATCAGGAGAACAGGAGTCAAGGATGCAATGGACCAAATTTCTAGAAACAAATGGCGATGGGCGGGCCATGCCGCGAGAGATGATATAAAATGGACAAAAAAGTCAGGCCCAGACAATCTAAGCGGAGCGTGGGTAGACCGAAGGCAAGATGGCGTGAGAATATCCAACGCCAAGCCGGAAAGAATTGGATATAGACAGCGCAGGACAGACTAGTTGGAGAGGGATGGAAGAAGCCTACGTTCAAGAGTGGACGTGCATGGGCTGATATGATGATGATGATGAAACAATTTTAATGCAATTGCATCAACACTCTGTCTTCAAAACGAATTTTAAAAGTTAATCAAACCACAGTCCGGATCGAATTTTGTAGTGGGTTAAAAGTAAGCCCGATCAGGAACACGAGTTTAAGAAACGTTTAAACAATAATCGTTAAAAACAATGTTTACCTTTAATGGTTTCTTCAAATCGCTCGGATTGACAGCGCGCAACTCTCTCAATGTATCTTCGATAATATGGTCTCTAGTAACATTTAAAACAAGAAATTGATTCAAAGCAACCATTTGTGTTGGACTGAACAACGCAGCAAATGCAGCTTGCTGCGCTGCATTCTGCATGGCATTTTGCATCTGGAATTTCACATGTCACACGCTCAGCCAAGTTAAGTTCAATGATAATAACTTACCTGCAAGGACTGATCGGTTTCTAACAATTTCAGTTTAGCGTGAGCATCAAAAAGGAATGGATAGTTGCATAAATATAATTTTCCAGACTGCAAAATATAAAACATGATAACTGGCTCATTCTCTGAAGGTCACCCTACTTACATCGTTATCTGACAGCCATAAAACATAGTCAAATCGGACATCCAAGTAGTCATGTAATTCGTTCATATGAAAAATATCATAAGGCACTTTCAGACCGTCTATGTTGTGATTAAGTTTATTCAAAAAAACCATTATGTCTAACATTGCTACTAAAGCAGAGTCATAAAACACAGTCTAAAATAAACCACTAATAACAAACATTATCTACACATTGTGGGACTAACAACTAGCAACTTACCCTGCCCTGTGGTATGTTCTGATTCCTCAAAATGTGACTTGCAACATTTTTGAAAATGTTAATTAATTTCTCGAAGTAGTCCGCCGTCATCATACTCCACCACCCTCCTACCACCTTATTTGCTGGCTGTTTTAAACGCAAAACTTGCGTGGCGAAAGGTTTTTGCAGTTTTGCATACTGTTTAGTATTATTAAATTCGTGATAGAGGGGTAATATTAGATAAACTCTAAGTGATTCGACATCTGGCGGGTTTGGGGTCAGTTCATTGAGAATGTAATCGGTAATCCCGGTAAAAATCTGAAAAATAATTTTGTACTGAATAACACATACACACACACACACAGTAAAAAATGTAATTCAATATGTAATGTGTAATTTTTTTTTTAGAAAAATGCTCGAACATTTCTTTTAGTAATTTTAAGAGCCCAATTTTTGCTTAAAACAGGGGGTGATTTACGTAAACAGTGCATTAGAAGATATCCAACTTGCAGTTGTTTTAGAAACTTTAAACTTCTTTCCGGTCATAACGGTTTTAATAAGTATCGGTAAGTAATAAAGTATCCAGTTTTGGCACAAATTGAATCACTGACAAGGTTGCCCACCCACACATGTTACAATTTTTTTTTCAGCACGAAATAATCGCAAATGGAAATTATGATTCATTTCAATGATTTCCGACACGTTAAATCATTCAAATATTCAGATCTTTCCTCTGAAAATTTGCTTGTGAGAGAACTAAGCTTTACAAGAATAAAATATTTTGCGACTTTATTTCATTCATTAAAAGAACGCAACCGGAAGTTATTTTCCTCCATATAAAAAACAAAATTTGATGATCGTTTCAAAGAAATAAAACGTTATAAATTTTCATTAATACCATCTTGTAGAGCTTGAAAACGTGCTATGCAAAAGTATTTTTTGTTGTTTGAAATGCTTCGAAATAACTTCAAAAAATGCGAAAAAACAAAAATCTGGAAAATCACTTTTTTCTAAATATCTCAAAATGACCCTGATTGCGCAACTTTTTCCTAATTTAAGAGATTTCGTATCTCTTACGGTTTCGGAGGTCCCTTATGGACACTTATTTATTGACTTTCATAGTCACCTTACAAAATGTAGCAACTTTTTGAAATTTTTAAATAAAATAAATTAAAATTTGAAAACGGTTGATTTCACAGCTTAAAGTGTAAATGCAAATTTGTAACTTTGTAAATTGTCTATCTAATGACGTATTAATATACAGGTACTTCCATTTGAAAAACAAAAGTTAAATTGCGTTAAAAAGTTTTAGATTGTCCATCCAACCAAGTCCACATTGTTTACACCCTGTACAGGGTACAAAAGTATAAAAAAATCAAGCAAAATAGTGAAAACCACACACCGATATATTTGTTATAACCGAAGATATATGCAATTTGACAATAACAATGATATTGTTGGGTTGTTGACAAAACAATCGGTTCTGAGAAGAACCGACTGTTTTATTTAACCCATTATGAGTATTCTTTGAATGAAATGCACCCTTGGGATTCAAGCCTGCTTAGATGCTCAAAATATTTTCGGTCATTTCGAATGGATTGCTCAAGCCTGTCTCTTGTAGATAAAA